CCGCACACGTGTGTGCTCTCCCGCTGCCCTCCCCGCCCCGGCTCCTGAGCCCGCGGGTGAACATACGCCATGGATTGATTCACCCTTCCCGCTCCCGCGCTCAGTCTGATCCTGCTGCAGCCACATCTGTCTGTGCCTGTGCCAACACCACACGCCCTGGAACTGGCTGTACAGGGTGAGGAACCCACAAGCTTGACACGTCCTTCAGAGCAAACCAGAACGTTAACCTGGTGACTGCACTGTCCATAGCTTTTGCTCCTTTCCAAGCAGATATCCAAGCCACTGCCTCTCCCCAGGCAATGAGACTTAGGCTCATGCATGGTAATCAGAGCTCAGCTGGCAGTGAATGGCTAAGGGTGCCACAGAGTTCCAGTTGTACAGCAGTTCAGCCAAGCAGCCCTGGCCACAGAAGTCCCTAGGGCTCCAGCCTTCTCCTGATTTCATCAATAAGTTTTTCTCTGGGGATATCAACCTGCAAAGCAAACAGAGAGGGGAAGGGGAGGAGCATTAGAGCCCAGAGCAGAGCACAGTTGACTTGCTGTGGATACTAACATTTTGTGACTGGGTTTTTTTGAGCCACCCAACACACCTGTACTACAGCTCCCCAAAGGAACAACATCACTGAGGGAAACCCCAGAGCCTGTCAGTCGTCTCTAGAGTTTGGAAGCACCTTTGACACCTGTTAAAAAGGCACTCTCACCTCCTCTCTAGTTGTGACATCTCGAAGCTTGACGACTCCATCTGCCAGCTCCTGCTCCCCTACAATGGCAGCAAGGGGGATCCCTGTGTCTTCACAATACTGCAGCTGCTTCAGCAGTTTAGGATCCTTCTTGTACAGCATCTCTGCCTAGGGGAGAGTGGGAAGGGTGAATCCACTCTGCTCTGATGGATCCTGGAGCAAAGCAGCCAGCACCAAAACCTGCAGTAAGCAGGTGCCTATAGTACTCTGGGCTGTTCTCTTTCTGTGCCTTCCCAGATCTAACAGTTGGACTTCATCTTGAAGGCCTTTTCCAACCTGAGTGACTCTCTGATCTCAGACAGGCATAGATCTTGAAGAGGTTACACAACTAATGGAGCTGGCCTTGCTGTGGCTCTAGCTCCCTTCAGGCTCTCCCTCCCTCACCCATGGCAGTGCCAAGCCCAAGTTCTTCCTTTACCTTGATCCCTGCATCCCACAGCTCAGAGATGAGCTTCAGTCTGGCCGCAAGTAAGTGTTTATGGGGTGTAGCCACCAGCACTTGGGTCTCAGTTGTACGAAGTTTCTCCCCAGAAGCCTGGAGGGACAGACACACTAGTGGGAGTGACCAGCTCTGAGGGAATCTGCAACTCACACCACCTCACCTCACCTTATCTCCAGACCCTAACTCAGTGAGTGACAACCTGGGGACTTTTAATGAGCCCCCCAGAGACTCTGCACTGTGTCACACTACTTAAAGTGTGCTGCTGTTCCCATGGGACCTTGGCCTCCCTCCTGGATGGGACCTGGGCAGCTTTCCCATGTCTCCTTTGATTCTTCAGGTACAAACATTGCCTCAGCCTCCCCTGCTTATGAAGCACAAGCTCAGAACTAAATGGAGAGAGATGAAGCTCCTCAGAGACTTTTCTGGGATGTTCATTACAGCGTGTCACAGACAATGCAGAATTCATCACTTCACAATCCCCAGGACAGAAAAGTTCACAGGCAAGAGACGAGCAAAGTGATTGGGGCACAGAGCTTCGAGCCAGGCACAGAGCTCAGGGCTGCCTCTAACAAGTCCTTGACATCTCCTAGGGAATGCTGCCCTCAGCTGCCCACACCTGCATCCTTATGGGCTGCAGAAAAGGGTTCTACCACGAGGCACAAAAGGAGCCAACCTCTCCCCGCAGATCTTCTCCCTTTGACCTGTAGGGCGCTAATAAACAACAGCTGGCTTCCTAGACCCTTTCCCAATGCACTGCCTGCAGCACCCACCTCCAGCCTCTGCTCCAGGATGGAG